TTCTCTCCCAGAAATCGCTGACACTCTTCAAACTTCGACTCCGCTTTTCCTCCTCCGAGACAATACACTGCTGCCTTGTCCTCATCGGCGTGCACGCAGTGTGCTGGGCGTAAATGAACTCCCACTCCATCGCCTCACTCAGCACCTCCCAGTTATTGAAGTTGCGCCTCATGTAGTTCATGAATGCAGCCACCTCACTGGCGGTGGTGTCGTGAGTATCTTGCTTTCTCACTTGCAGCCCGACAAACGTGATTATCCTCTTCGCCCTGCTCTGGCCACCGGTGGGAGTGTCGCTGGCCCGCCCGGATCTCTTCTTGGCAGCTGCCACGCGCCGCACCTCGGCCACGTAGAACGCGTCCAGCACGGGGAAACGGCGCGTGTTGGGGATATACAACACACCGGGTTCAGTTTCGATCTTCTCCCCCACCGCTTCTTGGGCCCCTTCCGTCGCGTACTCGAGCAAGCGGGGCCTGCTTGGAAAGCGGCCCGCTGCGTGTCCGTCCGCCAACACGCTGGCCCGCGGTTCCCCCTCCGCAGTGCGGGGAAGGTACGTCATCTTGCGGGCAACCGCCTCGGCGACGCCGCCGACCAGAAACGCCAAGCAGCCCACGCAGCTCGAGGTCGGCGGCGGCGCAGATACTGCACGTTCCCAGGGCGGACAGCAAAGCTGACATCTGAAAGTTCCTCGTTATCACCTGCCGCCGCAACTTTTCCTCAACTCCACGTGAAACGGGAACATTTATGAAGCTTTCCGCCCCGGCCCCCGCCTCCGCCTCCCCCTCGCCCCTGCCCTCCCTCGTCGCCGCCAGCACGCGCACGAGCCTGACCACCTCGTTATAAAGCCGGGTCTCGCGCCATTGCACCTTGCCAAATAAAAGCCGCGCGCGGTCCCTCCAGTGTAGCATAGACGATGCGGATACGGAGCGCGAAATTCCGCTCAGCTGCTGCCAGAAGGATGCCTCACTAAAAACATAGCGAGGGAGCGGCCCAACCTCATACATACGTCGCTTGACCGCCTTCCACTCCTCCTCAAGCACTCTTCTTCTTTCCTCGCTTAGTTGCGCGCCACGCAGCAACTTCGCGCTTCTCCCACGCAAAGAACGCCTTGATCTCTCCTGCAGTGTGGCAGTTGACAAAAATGAAGTATGCACCGCGACACTCCCTCCAATTCTCAAAATTGAGTATCTCCGGCGAAGTCAACACAATTCCACCCCAACGCTCGCAAGGCAGCCCGGCGACAATTGGGCCAGAGTATACATCAAAAATGAAGAATCCCCCCACATTGTCTCTGGCTAACCGCCTGATCGCCCTCACCGCTTCGTCAGTGTCGTGGTATTCCACCACGGTCCTTGCATTGTACCCGGTCTTGCGAAAAAGGTACATTGACCCGTCCACAAAGTAGGCCACCACAGGGACCTTCGCGGCGTCGTAGTGCAGGAGCTGGTGCAGCACGAAGGACCCCACCGCCAGCGACTTGCCGATGCCGGGCGTTCCAACCACCGCGTACGAATGCCTCACAAGCGTATCATCGTCGCCGGTGGGCCAGCCGTCGATATCTTCCTTGAGGACGTTCCACACACGCAGCACCTCCTTGCGCACAAATACGTCCTTGAAAGCCACACAAAGTTACTGCACGGCCACCCGCTCTCGGACCATGAGCACCAGAAACTCCAGCCGCACAGCCATGGGCCTCCTCCTCCTTATCCATCTCGTCATCAACGTCATCAATCTGGGCACGGCGAGGTATGACGTTCACCTCACCCGCACTCCACATTTTCTCCGGCTCGCTGGAGTTGGCCCCCACCACCCTCATCCCCAGCGGCTCCTCAGCGTGGCCCGACTCCACGTAGCCCCACTTCGCCTCGTACACCGACCGGTACATCATCTTTCCCCGAGGCAGTTTCTCCAACTCTTCCCGCCTCTGCCTCGCTTCCTCCTCCACCGCCGCGTCAAGCGCTGCGTCCAGCCTCCCCCTTGCTTGAGGACTAGCCGCGCCCCTCCCTGCAAACCCCCTCCAGTGCTGGAGAGTGCTCACGCCCTGGCCCGCAAGCTTGCGTGCTTCTTCCACGCTCTTGAACAGCTCGGTCTTCTTTATTGTGTCCAACACTCCCTCACTTGTGATGAATGTCCCGGGCCCCGCAAGAAAATCCTCCATAGAGACGCTCTCGTTCCTTGGCTCCACGCCCACGCCGTCCAATTGGCTGCGAAGGAAGTCGTTCAGCTTCATTCTGTCGGGGCGCACGCTTCCCTCCAGCAGTACTTCCTCCACCGTGCTGGTAAGAGTCCACCTCAGGACCGGCGGTGCTTCCTCCAGCCTTCTGCGCTGTGCCGCAGGTTGCCGCGTGTCGCCGTCGGGTCCCGACCTCTCCCTGCGCCGTCCCTGCGGCACATCTGTGGCGGGATCCCCCTCCGCCGCAGCGTAAACACGTTCCTCGCGCCTCCCAGACATTCTCCTCTTGAGCTTTTTCCCCCCTCGTACTTGTTGTAGTTGATGGCTTGAGCTGCAGCCGAACACCAACCACCAGCCAAAAGGAGAATAAGAGGGAAGAGGCAAAAAAAAAACAGGCACTCTCACACGCACGACCCCACGCAGACGCACAGCAAGAAAAAGAGAGAAAAAGCCAACCGCCCACCACCACCACCCCACCGGCGCAGCCAAATGAACCCCCAACACCGCGCCGCGCGGCACGGACGGGAGCCGCATGGTGCCTGCGGAGGGGCTCCC